CACCCGGGAATAGCGTTCTCTCAAGAGAACGATTGCTCTGTCTTAGTCACCCATATTGTTATTTCTATAATACTGACAAAGACAGAGCAATCGTTTTCTTGAGAGAACGCTGTTCCCCGGTTACAAGAATACGGGCCTGCTGGACTGATACTATCAGACAGGAATTCCTTCTCGCTAGAAGGGATGACTGACTAGCAAGGGACTGACTAGAGCCTGACCCAGATTTCCTCAAGCCGAAGAGGCTTATCTGGTATACAGTCTCTGATGGGAGAGGGTGCAGGGGCTAGTGTAGATGGGGAGAGATCTGTGGCGAGAATCATTCTTGCACTGGGTCCATTTTGTTTTCAAATGTGGATTGAACTGAACTTGTGACTGAACTGATGTTTCCTGCGCTCATCTCAACGAATAGGAGCAGTTGAAACATGGATACAAATCTCAGATACATGTAGCGCTGCCTGTCGCGAAACATTAGGTATCGATACCGATCTCAACGTGAATGGGGCCCTTAACGTATCAATCCCGGGCAGAGGGTTGACATATCAGTATCAGGCAATGTGTATCCAGGAAGAGGATTCACGTCAGTGTCATAGCATCAGTTGCACCAGATCAATGTCTCTGGTTGGCTATAAGGGGAAGAAGGAGGTTATATCCGGGGAAGAAGTGCCCCATCTCAGTCATGTTTACTACATCAGGGGAACCAGGACCCCATTTCAGTTATAAATAAACTGTTTTTTCTCCGAAAGACAGTAAAAGCGGCCTTTTAATGACACTTGACAGGATCAAAAGTTGTATTTTTACTGCCTAGGCAGTAAAAGTGGACTTTTACTGCCTAGGCATTAAAAGTGACAGTGTCACAACGTTCCAGGTAAGAATTTCACTCAATTTGCTATTTGAAATTGATGGTGACAATGACAATTGTCAAAATAATTTAATTATTTGGATAATAATAATGAATGAAATAAAAATAAAAAAGATGTCCATGTGTGAATTTGAACATTCGAAGAAAAAATTATATGTTTTACATGGCAGAAAAGCATATTTAATGCCTCGGCTGGTTTCCTAGCCTCGGCTATGCCTCGGCTATGAAACACCAGCCGCGGCATTAAATCTTGTACTTTTCTGCCTAGTAAAACAAATAACTATTTCACGACAAGGCTTTCACATAGTCTTATTTGCTCTTCTACAGCTTTATACCTTCAAGTGAATAATTATTTCTTCTATCGACGCATTTTTTTCGTTTTTTCGTACTCTCATACACTCTTCAAGCAAAAACCCCATATAAATTCGTAAACTGAACATATCCTACAAAAAAAAACTAGGATACTCGAACCTGAGAATGATAAATGTGGTGTCATCAGTGCGGGGCCAGATATTGATGTCTAACTTTGATTGATTATCTTTGGGCGAGGTATCAGATAAAGTTTCTATTTTGGCTTTTTCTTCCTAAACAACTTTCTATGGGTTTTATCGAAAATACCGCATCCATCTCGTCGGAACAAAAGGCCACCGAATGTCTTAGCGGTTTAGAGCAAGTCATGTTTTTACCATAACTTTTGGAGGATATTGTTTTCTACTCCACTTGTTTAAGAAAAAAAAAAAAACGATTCCTTGTTACAAAGCGAACGTTTTTGTTTTATCAAGCATCGGGAGATCGAAATGTCGTAATTTCAAATGCCAGTGGGAATAGTATCTTTTACAGGAAACGAATAACATGTAAGTTCACTTACGGGAAGGATTTTTCCTCGATATCCTCTACTCGGATTGAGTTTATCATTTTATATAGAACCGAAATTTATTTTTTTTTAAATGCCAACTCATTCAAACCCAAATAACGCAATGGACGATCACGTACACAAAAATGATGGAAACTAGCTTGTACCACGTATATACTTTTTTGAAATGAAGATTACTAGTCTATAAAATGGAATCTCCTCGTTCTTACACTCAAGAATTTTCCCTCAAAATCCCAGCCATAAAGATATAAGTTTAAAGTCTATAACTCAAAGTTGTTCCAGGAGTATCCGACTGAGAGTAAGTTTTAACTTCCGAAGTTGCCAAGATATAAGGTTGGGATAACTAATTGATAGTGATCCTGTCTGAAATAAGGTGCAAAAACTTTACTCGGAAATGAGTTTTGTTATAGGTTTTATTGCCAAATCGAAGAGACTGCTGTGAAGAAAGATAACGCCTTTTTTAAACATAAAAAGTGTAGGATTTTGAGTTTCTACTATTTTACCTCTCTAGGGATTTTATCCAATAATGCAGTGACGAATAAAATTTGGGACATAAAATTTGGGACATAAAATTAATTAAATTAACGATGGGATTTATTTATGAAATGGTTTTTAATTAAATATTAATCTAGCAATTCATTTCATGTAGTTATTAGAATAAATTTTGCGGTTATAATAAAACGAGGTTTGCGGCTTGCTCATTTAAATCAAATATATGGAAATCAATAGGGTTTTTGTAATTTTGGTAAAAGTTAAATTCACCGTAAAAATTCTTAGAAATCTTTAATAATCCTAATTATTTCCCAAAAACAGGCCGCAACAATGGGCTTCTAAAACAAAGAGGTTTTACTAGAGGGGGAGAAATATTTTGCCACTCTCGAAAACCACACTGAAATAGGGAGGAAAGTTGGAAAACGCGTAGCCATACACATAAATTAAAAAGCTAGTGTGCAAAGTTTGCATCTGAAATTACCTACTCCCTTTTTTTTGACCTAGAACTTTAATATTCATGTGGTGCCTGTTAGTTTTCATACATTTGTAGAGTATGATGACACTTGTTTGAAAAATTATGAATAGTTTTCTTGTATTTTATACGAAAAAAAAAAGGAGAGAGCAAAAATTCCATTTCTAAAAATATTCCAGCCAAAGCCGCAAATCTTCGAAATTCAATTTTATACCGGGCAAATCCAGTTTAATAGCGATATATCGATACAGGATAGAAATATCTGTGCGGCATATGCTGACTGCCGGATTTTTTAGATTTAATATTGACTTTAAGCGTTTTAAGATGAGAGGAATTTCGATGAATTTTAAATTGGCAATTTGGCAAAAAAGTAGCTGGAGGAAAAAAAAACGACCGTAATATCCTATAATATTATGCACGAGAACTTGTAATATGTAAATTTATTTGATGATATAAATTACCCATAGAATCAGAATTCATTAGTTTCCTGTCATAAGAATTGTATATTTTTTAGTATTCCTTATGAGCCTTCAAGACCTAAATTTGAAGTCTGTCTTCTTAAACCTCCAAGCTACCAATTATGATGTAACGAAGTAACTATATTTTTCCAAAAATGTGTGCGCCTCTGACTTCAATTCAATTATTTGTGTAACTAAAGCCACACGACTTTTCTTTGATTTTAAGAAGTACCGCGACTTTCTTCAAAATCTCTGAATTATTCTTCATTTCCGAATAAATCGATATTTTCCACGTGACCTTGCTACAGGTAGCAGTTTGCATCGTCACACACGCCGCCGGCTTTAGACCCATAGTGGTCATAGCGCGCACCATGGTATTTTCTCCCACTGGTTGCCCTTCCAGCTTCGCGCGTTTTCCTTACAAAGTTAATTCAGTCTGGCCCGAGTTCATCAACTAAGTAGACGCTTCCGACATCCACCGAGTACCTAGGTAGGCCTTCTTTCCAAAACACCGACTGGTACCTGTTCCACCGCAACGCTAGTAAGTTATTTGCCATTAATACTTGGTTGGTGAATTATATTTTTTTTACTGTCATAGTTCATTTGTACGGACATAGTTTAAGGTTCTATAACTGTCACGGTTTACGTGTACGGACAATTTCTTTCATTATATATGGTTCATTTTTACTGTTATGGTTCATTTGTACGGACAGAGTGTAAATTTCTATACCTATCACGGTTTACGTGTACGGACAGTTTCTCTCTAGAATATTTATACTGTCACGGTTCATGTGCTTTATTTCCACAGCCGTTACGGATCATTTATACGAACGGTTGATTCTTTGGTTTTACTTACCGACCAAGGGTTACCGTATTAACCAACCAAGTGAATTCATGTCCATATCCGAGATTTCTTATATAAAGTGTGGGACGGGTACATCGGTATTCGAAACAGGTAAAACCGTTAAAGATCTATCCACTATTATGTTGCATGACCGCTACTAATTTTCTATACTCACTGCTTGCTCAAATCGCCCATTTTCATTAACCTACACACACGCACACATACACATTTTTACTCTCTTCATTGCACGCCCGCTTCATTCACCCTGCTTAAGGAATGTTTATTTTCATATAGGAATTACGTTATCCAACGTTGTAAACTTGTTGCAATAAATACAAGATCTAATTATTGAATTCATGTGTCTTCTTTTGGAGATTTCTGGAGGATTTACATGAGGGATGGAAGGAATAACTTCCAGCATCTGATTCGACACCTGATCTCCACTGTAACAAGCTACCTGGTGTACGTGGGCCCTCAACCACAATAATCTTGTGGCACCCTGAACTGAAAGGGCGTTACAATGAATAAAAAATAAATATTGTTGTGAAAATAAATTTTTGTGGCTTTGATATCCGGACAGGCATTTATTATACATTCAAATTACCATAGCTTCGAGAAAAATGGCCCTGCAATTTTCTATAGTCGTCCATTCGGTGTCGTAATGGAATTTTACCGGCATACTGACCTAAATTCCAACGACAGCTTTTTTACATAACCAGTGAGTTTTACATAAAAAACATTGGGTATATGAAGGTTGCAGAAAGCTATAGGGTTGTGTGTAAATGATATTCGATATCACTTACCTACTTGTATATTCATAAAATTGCAAATATATATAGCTAAAATTTCCAAAGCTGTAGTAGATATAAATGGTATAAATTAATAATTCTACTAAAAGGCTGTATAGCGATTCACAATGATTGGCATAAAAATAAAAAAAAGGACTACTCAAATACAATATTTGTTACTGAAAATACAAATTAGTAAAATGGGGCACTTACTTATTGTAAAGCACTATGTCCGGCCTCCATATGTGATCTGAGGGAACGTGTAGCATGTGCACCCCACCATATTCTTTGGGCTCCCAACGCAACTTGTAGTCGTACCATGACTGGAAAAGGTAAAAGTTTTTGCTTAGGTACAGGTAAAACTCCAGATTTCAATCAGTTTCCCTTATTACTATTGTTTGTCTTTTTTTTTTTTTGTTCTGGGCATAAACTTGAGACTCAAAATTTCATTAAATTTGCGCATTCCGTCTTACACTCGTTTTCCTTCGGTTTTAATTAAAAAGACTTGAGGTCGCGTCTGATTTAAGCCTGCTTCATGCTTGAGCCGATTAAGAAAATTGTCTTCTTTATCCTGCCGAGTCTTTTTTGTCATAATTAGCACACGGTAAATAAAAGTTCCGCAAAATATTTACCCATAAAGCCATCTTCGAAAACTTTTGGGTGCTTAAAAACTTATAGCCGAGAAATACTTGCAGCGTCAAACTCTTCAAACAAAATTACGGCATCGAAAGGGGAAAAATTGACTTTTGAGAGTTTTTCTTATTGGCGCAGCAGAGAGAAATCTGCGACTGACTATCGGTGATAAATTTGAAACCCAATAGTGTATTTGGGTTACTATAACTTAAACTAAATTAGCCCGAAATATAGTATTTTATAGATTGTAGATTGCAGTATTTGGAGTCGTTACAGCTTGTTTCAGCTGCTCCTTTCCAAATATTTTGTGCGTGACTCTGCTTTTAGTTGCTGTAGGCTTCTTCAAAAGAAAGCCAGCTTCCTGAAATGCTACCGTACCCTTTCAACGTATTTGTATTTCATCCTTTCGCAGAAGGGATTCGCAGATCAGATATTCTGTAGTTTCTTTTGCTTGTTCGCAAGATTTGCAGTGATCATTGTCTGATTTGATTGTTGTCTACAGGACGCGGATTCTGTGCTCTGTCGCATTCTACATGTCGAATTCTAGTGTCGATTTCTACATTTAATATGAGGGGAAATCGTGTAGAAAATAGAATACGAAATGTCGGACGCGACATGTCGCTATAGAATTCGACAGTGCACGGAATCCGGGTCCAGGTGTCTATCACCCATTGAACTGTCCTGTTGCTTTCCGAGTCTCCAGTAGTTTTAGCCTTATTGAACGAATTTCTGGCGTTTGCTTATTTCTCGGTTCCACTAAGACACGTTCCTATGGACTACCTTTTCTTTAACGTGACAGCTGTTTTCAAAGAAATTTTTGATTAGACTATGTAAGGCTGCCTCTAGTTGATGGTGTTTGGGTGTTCTTCTAAGCTCATGCTTCACAGAAGTCCCAATTTTTAAGCTTTGGAATTCTCCTTTCTTCTGGTTTAGTAGCTGCTTCCTTTAAGTCGAACCTAATCATTTGATGGTCCGACATGGAGGTTCGTCAGAGATGTGCGTCATATATAATGATGATAATGATTATATAAATCTCACCTGTTCCACCCACAAATTCGTCGTCATGATTTGGTTTTTCAAATTCTGAAACAAAAAAATCCACTTTAGTGAAAATGACCATTAACAGCACAATAATAATTTCGAACTTATTTTAAGTCCTCTACAAAATGCATGCATTCAAACAAGGTACATTTACATGGTATTACATTTTCCGAAGTATAAATTATAATACAAAGTTCACTGTGCTGGAAACTATATAGCGGTCGTTTTCCTATTGTCTCTGGAATAAACTTTAATTCCCCTTTTCCATAATAATAATGGAGAGATAATTTAAATGCGTTTCGAAAACTTTATATTTTGTTCTGTTATTATGTTGTCTTTACCCGGAGGGAAATCGAAAACAATGCGGGCAATAATAAATGAAGAGGAATTTTGTATATCAAAGGCAGAAGTTGAGACTTTTAAAAGAAAAGTTGAATTAGAGGTAAACCCGATGCAACAAACTTTGTTTCTGTTTCATTGGTTTCTTCCATATTCAATCTACTTTTCAATAAACCTATTTAGGATTAATTCGACAATAATCGTTTATATGGTTGCTAGAAATTCAAATATAAGTAATTAATTGTCACCTACTTCAGTTTGAATTGCTGCGAAATTGAGCAATTCAGGTATTCACATTTCGCATAAAAAGAGCGTACATTTGCAAGATTATAAAAGATTAAATTTCATTGCCTTCCGGCGTCGTTTAAAAGCCAGAAACATTCCCAGCGGGGGAATCAGTTACGGGCCATTTTATGTTTTCGATACAGAGATTATAATCGCTCCTCTAAGGGTGCTTTTCTCTATATTATTTGCTCAATTATATTGAGAGGGTATTGGAATGAAAATAAATGAGGCATTATGAAAGTAGGTATAATTTGTACTAAGATGATTAACGCCATTAGAATCAAATCAAGAGTTATTGTGCGAAAAATACTTTGTTTTTGATCTAAACTAATGAGGAAATCAGGAATTTCCAAAGGAAAAATTGAAAAGATGAATCTTCAGAAATATTGTCACAACCCCTATACGTTTCGTCCTGGGACGTCACAACAGGAGCATGACCTGGGGGCGTAGGTGGGGTTCAGGTAGAGAGAAACTCGCTTGGGATAGGTACAATAAGATATAATGAGATATAATAATATTAATAATTTAGAACTATTATTATGATATCTCTTCTACGGAGGGACGTACTACTTATATGCCACTCTGTACACTTGGCGTGACTGAAGACTGAAGCTGGGTTTGAGACAGGTCCAGAAGGGCGTTTCCCAACAAAGGTAGTTTGCAGTGGACCTAATCTGCTGCGTTCAATGCTCCCAGAAGAAGCTAGGTTTGAGACAGGTCCAGAAGGGCGTTTCCCATTGAAGGTAGTTTGCACTGGACCTACTCTGCTGCGTTAAATACTCCCGGAAGGGCGTTTCCCATTAAAGGTAGTTTGCACTGGAAGGAGACTTAGCTAGAGGGACTTTTCCCAATTGAGGTACTTTGCACTTGCCTTAGTCTGCCGGTAATGGATTTCGGCGCAGTATTTATACCAAATAAATGCTGACTCGTCGACACACTTGAGTAAACTTGATGAACAGAGCGGTATTTACCTAAGTAGTTGACAATATCACTGAGGCTGGATCATTTTCACTATTTCTTATAGCAGCCTGTGGTACGTTCACCTGATATCAATTGCTGGGCCCTGCGCCGAAGGCTGCTATTCCGACACTCGAGTGGTGTTGCCGGCTCAAGTACTCTATGCCACATCCTCCTTTTTCACCAAATGAGTATCTTTCTAACTTAGCACTCGAGTCGAATTCAATGCGACTAGCCCCAAACCATAGTTTATCCCATTTACACTAGGTATATTAATGTTATGGACAAAACTACACACTAATTCACTATATACACTATACAATGTTTATTCTCACTTTTGTTTCAACTTATCTTCACCACACATTCCATTGCAGGTGCAACGACGTGCCGGCTTAACTAGTCTTCCTGATCTGGTGAGTGAAGTATAGACTTCGGTCTTCTCCTCGGAGCCTGGCCCAGATATTATGGAGTTGTCACTTTCGGAGCTGTTGCCTTCAATTTCTGGTCCACTGTTTTGTGATGCGGCTGAACCTTATTCTGTGTTCGTATCATCCTCTCCATCATCACCCTCTGATTCTGAGCTTGAATCATCATTGCAACTTTCGGGGAGTTCCCAATTGGACATCTCTAGTCTAGGATCTGTCCCTTGCTCTAGTCATCATCGTTTCTGAGGTTACTTCTGTAACTTGGCTTCTGTTTCGCCTGATGACGTTATTATTCCTTTGGTTTGGACATCATTCTTCTGACATTTCAAGATACTTTTTATGTGCAAGTCCTTGATAGGCATTGATTCACCAATTTGATTTGCAAAATCTTCCACTTTTTCTATGAGTTCGTTGACGAATAAAATATCTGCTCCATGATCACTGGATTTTAGTGGAGCTCTGAAAAATACGTCAGGCATTATAATGTTTCTGCCAGGAATATACTGTACATCATACGAAAATCCCATCAATCTCATTCGGAATCTTTGGATTCTAGCTGAGCTAATTGTTTGCTTCCTAGAAGTTCCACTATGGGTTTGTGGTCAGTCAGGAGCATAAATGTTTGACCAAGAAGGTATTGCGCGAATTTTGCGCAGGCCCAAGTCAAAGACAATGTTTCTCGCTCTATCTGCGCATATCGTTTCTCTGTGTTGGACATTGTCCTCGATGCATAGCCGATAGGTTTCCAGACATCTTTATCTATTTGTTCCAGGACTGCTCCCAATCCATATGAACTGGCGTCCGCTATGACTCTTGTTGGACGTCCTGGAGCAAAATGTGTGTGGAACAAATTCTCGTTGTTGCGGCTCTGTCCACATAAATTCGTTGTTTTTTCGTATAGGGTCGGAAATTTCCGCTAATTCTGGAAGGAATTTAGTGTTAACCTGTATGCAGCCCATCAATGTTCTAACTTCGCATAACATTGGGGAGTTGCACGTCTAAAATGGCTTGAATTTTCTCTTCATCGATTCCAATCCCTGAATCTGAAACGCTATGGGCTAGAAATGTCACTTTTTTCGGATTTGTTTCTATTTAGTTTTATTTATTTTTTTTCTTGAAAACGTGATAGCACGGCCTTCAAACGTGAGTCGTGTTCATTCTTGTTCTTACCAAATACTAATGTGCCATCTGCTACATTGTCTGCTCCATTTAGTGGTACGCCTTGCGCCGAGGTCTGCTATTCCGACTCTCGAACGGCGTTGTCGGCTCAAATACTCTATGCCACATTTCGTACTTGGTTTCTGACTAATATAAGGCCTGAGTATACGAATAAAGTTTCCATTTATTTGATAATGACACATTCTTTTATGAGAAATGTTCATGGCTTTTTTGGTATGAAAATATGTGCTCATGCATTGGGTTCTTGTAATTGAAATTTTTCCAGGATTTATAAAAGTTGCTTTAAAGCCTCGATACATCAGATTCCTTTTTATCGATACTTTACTCCAGGATAAGTAGCTTATCCTAGGACACTCTAATAATTAAAGCCGGCTTTTTAGCTTAGAATTTTTTATTGGTCGCAACTAAAAAACACTTTTACGACGCCTCAATTCTGCAGGCGCTTTTTCGCTAGTCAGCTACTGAGAGGTAATTGCTTTTTATGTCTTTTGTAAAATATTTGTGTGTTTAACAGTTAAATTTTAATTATTAAAAATAAACGTGGCGCCCCCCTCACTGGTGTGGTGTCTCTCAAATCCTGGAAGGAACTATTCGTTGCATAACAACGATTAATATAAACCAAAGCAGCGGGAAAAACGTAGGAAAATATCATCGGTTTTGGAGTGTGTTTTTAAACGTTTTCCATGCAGAGAAAAAGGTCATAAATTTCGAGGGAATTTGGGTCAAAAGTATAAATCACGCCGGGACTCATACACCGGCAGGGATTTCTGTTTGAGAGCCAGTTCCTCCATCAACAGTTCTGTTAGAAGTTTTGGTTTGAATTTTTTGCTTTGGTAAACTACATTTATGTATGTATTATTGAAGAATAATTGTGCTCTTAATTTTACAAATACCAACACAAAATGTCTTGGCTAATTTCCAAAAAGGGTTTGTTATATGATATAGCTTTCGGTGTAACAACATATAAACGCCATTAAGCGGAAATGTTTCTCGAGTGAATATTATATACAAAATCACCCCTTTCGAAGGTAATTTGCTGTTAAGCGATAATGACGAGCAAAACAGTAACTTACTGATGAACATGTATTAATTTAATCTGTTTAGGTACAAGTTCAGTGATCACGTTAAGTGGTTAAATTGCTGCCAAAAAACTTGAAATTCAAGCAGCCCTGACAAAGATGAATATACGTATAGAAGCATTTATAACTTGTTAGATTTTTAAAAAGAATTGAAACTAGATAAATCGTCAGGGAATGCATAGATTCTAAAGCGAAGAGTTTTTGAGTCAATCAATCATGTTACAGGAAATAGTGTAAAAAAACTGACTCTATCTTCTTATAGAAATTCGATTGGAGCTCGGCAATCTGTGGAATATGCAATATATCAAACACTAATTAAATGGGGAGTGAAATAAATGGGGGGAAAACTGTCAGAACGCAAGAATGCGATAATGGGTATTAGTGTTGGAGGCGCAAATTATATTAATTATTTTCCCACATAGATTAATCTTTTCAATCTATTTCTTCGTTATCTAATAACTATTACACGAAGAGTAACATACTTGAGAAATGTTGAAAACAAAAATATAGTTGGTTAGTTTGTTGTCCATTCCTTAATTGTAATTGGTAAAGGTTTTGTTCAATATAATTTCAGATTATGAACGTTTCGCAATATATTATTGCATCTTCAGGAAACTACAAAAAGGTAAGACAATGTTACCTCCTCTATAGAGTCCTAAAAACTCCAATTATATGCTTATAGTATTGGGTGCTTACATTTGCAATTGACTTTCTATGTCATTACATGAAAAATATACTCAGTTGTTCGGTAGGTAGATACCTACTTAAATATAGTTTT